AAAACAAATGAGTGTGCCCTATCTGCAGAGACTAGTAGAACAATTTCACACTAATTTTGGGCCAATAGGTCACATGACCTAGGAGCTATTGATGAAAAATACTACATTTTAACTAAAAAAATTGCTAAAAAATAAAAAAAGAGTTAAAATTAAAAACAAATGAGTGTGCCCCATCTACAGAGACTAGTAGAACAATTTCACACTGATTTTGGGTCAATAGGTCACATGACCTGGGAGGTATTGACGAAAAATACTAAATTTTAACAAAAACAATTGGTAAAAAAATTAAAAAAAGAGTTAAAATGAAAAACAAATGAGTGTGCCCTATCTGCAGAGACTAGTAGAACAATTTCACACTGATTTTGGGTCAATAGGTCACATGACCTAGGAGCTATTGATGAAAAATACTACATTTTAACTAAAAAAATTGCTAAAAAATAAAAAAAAAGAGTTAAAATGAAAAACAAATGAGTGTGCCCCATCTACAGAGACGAGTAGAACAATTTCACACTGATTTTGGGTCAACAGGTCACATGACCTGGGAGCTATTGAAGAAAAGATTTTATTATTTAATATTTAAATTGTTTAAATATTGATTATAGCTTTAAAATTCAATAAAATGTAATTTATGTAATGTAAAAGCATGAATTAGCACTTTATATGTCAGTTGGTCACAAGGAAAGACATTTATTAATATTTTTATGTCAGCACTGTTTGGTTCGGAAATTTGTTGACGGAGCGCGAATATCGAATATTCAACTTGAAACTAACTTCACTGCTGTAAATCTTTCATACATAAATGTAGAATTGCTAAATCATCTCCCAAACTTGTTGTTTTTTAAAATGAGTTTAAGCTATATTTATAATTATAATTATTAACGATTCTGAAAAGTCCTCAAGCACAAAAAAAATTATAATATCCTAAAACACTTCCCAATTGATGTAAACAGCTAAACAAAGACTGAATTCTCCCGTCATGTGATACTTTCTTATAATTTTATTGCATATCATTGTTGTTAATTTACAATCATTCTTATAATTTTCTATTTGTCTATTTATTTGGTTTTGTGTATTTGACTGTTTATGTTATTAACCCTCTACTATAGCAAGTCTATACGTTATAGATATCTTTCATATTTTTATGCTCCCCTATTTTCTATATCCTTACTTGAAGAAACGAACTCTATGCAGCCATGTTTGTCTGTAAATTTTGATATTTTCAATAAAAATAAATGAAAGTCTTTACTAAACCCCGAAAAAAAAAAAAATAAATAAATTAAAATCCGGAAGGCATCCACGTGACCCATCGCGTGACAAACCCCCCGAGACCCATCGCGTGACAAACCCCCCGTAGAAGAGAAGAAGAAGAAGACAAACCCCCCGAGGCAGATAGACAGTCATTATTAAGCATATACAGGGCTCTAATGAGAGCAATAATAGATTATGGCAGCATTATATATGGAGCAGCAGCTAAAACATCATTACAAAAAATAGAAAGATTACAGTGTAGGGCTTTACGAATATGTACAGGAGCAATAAAAACAACACCTATTAATGCTCTATTAATTGAAAGTGGGGAAACTCCACTTGAAATGAGGAGAATTAAATTAGCTTTAGCATATTGGATGAAAATTAAAAGTAATATAGATAATCATGTGAATTCAACTATTCTGCAAAATTGTTGGGAATATGTGAAGTTCCAAAGTAATGGATTTGGATGGATGGTTAGGAAATGGATTAAAAAGTATAGACTAGAAGACAAGGAAATAGCTCAATTTAACCCAATTAGCGTTATTCCTCCATGGCTAATACCTGAGGTTAATGTAGATTTGCAAATCAATACAATGAAAAATGATTGGAATATAAATGAAATAGGGATAAAAACTGATATTTATTTAAGAACTACATATAATAATTACCTTAAAATTTATACAGATGGTTCTAAAAATCTAAAAGGTTATGTGGGTATAGGAATATATATCCCAGAGTTTAAAAAATGTATTCACAAAAGAATATCAGATCAATTGTCGGTATTTACAGCAGAAATGGTGGCAGTTATATTAGGCTTGCAATGGGTGGAGGAGATTCGACCAATCAGGGTGGTGGTGTGCACAGACTCTAAAGCAGTAGTGGAAAGTATTAAGGGAGAAGGAAATAATAGAAAAGATTTGGTATTAGAAATTCATCATATTTTATTTAGACTATATAGGGGTGGCATTGATGTTTGGTTTTGTTGGGTGCCGGCACATGAAGGAGTAAAAGGCAATGAAAAGGCAGATAAATTAGCTAAAAGGGCTTTAGAGGGGGAAATAACGATTTCAATTCCTTTTGGAAAAGGGGAAGGGAAATCACTTATTAAAAGTAAAGAAATGGAGGAATGGCAAAAAATATGGAACGAAGATAGGAAAGGAAGAAGATTATATGAAGTGCAAAAGTCAGTTCGAATTCGAAACATTAATGAAAGAAACAGAAGAGAAGAAATAATAGTTAGTAGATTAAGAATAGGTCATACCTACTTAAATGACATGCTTTACTTAATAGGGAGGAAAAATAGTGAGAAATGTGAGAAATGTGGTGAAAAAGAAAATGTAGAACACATACTGATGAACTGTAAGTTATATGAACACGAAAGGGAAAAATTAAAGAGAATAGTTAGAAGTATAGGGCATGAATGGAATCTTAAAGGAATATTAGGAAATGAAGGAAACATAACAGATATTCATAAACTAAGGAAAGCATTGTTTTTGTATCTTAAGAATACAAAATTAAAAAATAGAATCTAATAGATGTGAAGTAACGCTGCTACACACTCATGTACAGTAGGTGGCGGTATGCACCTTAAAGTTGCTTGTGATCCCCCATAATAGAAGAGAAGAAGAAGAAGAAGAAACCCCCCGAGTCAAAAAGACAACAGACGTTTGCTGCTGCCGCTGTTCTGTTTTTTTACTTAAAAAACATGCCTGCGTCATACTCGAAAGGTGAGAATTTTTTTTTATTCTTCGTTTTACCCGCTTTTATCTTCTTTCCTTGCCTTCTTTTCTCCAGAAATAATATTCGCAAAAGTTTAACTAAAAGTAATCATGTCGGACCATATAGTGGCTCAGATTAAATCAGGTAAATTTGGTCACACAATTTACCGTTATTTTTTATTGTCTTGCTGTTGTCATTAGCAGTTGTCTTCCGGTTTTTAGTGGGATTTTAACAAGCAAAATGGCAGCGAGTTTTGTGCCCAGCTCTGCCAACAGATTTTTTTTATTTTATTTCAGTATAGTATGGGAAAAAAGTCCGAATTCTGACTTTAATCTCAGAATTCTGAGAAAAAAGTCAGAATTCTGACTTTTTTCCCATGTTAAACTGAAATAAAATTTAAAAATTAGTTAACTTTTTTTTTTCAGTGGCCCTAATCCTCTTCCGTAGCCTCTCCCTGAATTTCAGGCAGTTCTTTTTTTTACTGTCCTCCTGTCCCTGTGTATGGAGGACCAACGCTGCCATATTTAAAAATAAATGCATAAAACTAACTTCACCGTGGTCCGCCATATTGGTACTTCCTTGTTAAAGCAGTCACAATGTATACAATATCTACAGCATCGAACAATGATGATGTTCTCATTTTCAGGGGACTTGAGACTTTTAAGACCAGCATGGCGGACGGTGGTTTCACTTTTTTCGGGCTATCAGCAATCCAATGAATAAATAAAGATCAGTGATAGCAGCATGTAAAGGGATTACATAAAGATCAGTGTCCTAATCCTGATACACAGTGGTATGTGCTTGCACCTTCCTGTTTGCAGCGGCAGCGACGTGTACCTGCGCTCTTGTGAGGAGCATGGGCTTGTTTACAGCTGAAGTGAGCCCATACTGCCTGACTCTTTTCAAGTGTCTTTCTCTGTGTTTTAGATTTTGAAATCTATTACCACCACTAAATAGTCATATTTGTATGACCAAGGTTACAGCTGTTGTCCTATTTACCTATCTCCTCCTATTTGCCTCATGAAAAGCATATTTTGCATATTTGCCCTCATAAACATCTGCAAATTCTAAACAGGCTTTGGCAATAAAAGTAAACTTTGGATGATGTATCTGCACTAAGTTTGATTCGATTTAAAACTATTCTGTAAAGGTTGTAACTCATTTAATTATTTAAAATCTAACGTTGATGCATTTCGATTTTCTTCGGAGGATATTATTTTTTGAGTTTTAAAAACGCTAGTACAGAGAGTGCACAGTACAAAATCAAAAATTTCAAGGAAGAACTAAAGTTTATTAATCCTAATTTGAATTTCCCATACTGAATACATTCCTTGAATAGAGAAAATGGGACACCTTAATGTGCAGGCTGGGCTCACTCCTGCTGAAAACAAGCCCATCCTCATACTGCTTGCTACGCCGCAGGGACACGCTCGATTTTTGCCGATCACTTTTTGGCACAACACCGTCACTGTCACCGCCCCTCACTGATCGTACGCTCTGTTGCCTAGCACCCAGGACAGAGAATGGATGCTGAATTTCTAACTAATGTTGTGTATGCCGATTGCATTTTGAGGAGTTTCAGCAGCAGTACCGTCATCACAGATATCATATTTATAGTCCCCAAACTGCAGATGTATCACATTCTTAAATGTTAGCCAAACCTATTTGCACAGGGGCAGATAAAACCTTTCAATAAATCAATCATTGTCTGCCACATATCTGACTCAATAACCATTAAAAACAACAATTTTCATTAATTTCGGACAGAACTATTCACATACTGGTGTTATATTAAACTGAACTTACAATATTCGCCCCTGTTTGTCTCGATTTCCTCTGAGCACGGAGCAACCAGCTTGCTTGGACTCTCAATGAATCATGGGATACCCAAACTCGGCACAGGTGTGTCTGGCAATGGTTACTCAGGTCAGCCACACCTGGATCAATCAGTCCATCCAGTAGAAACAGACAGGAAACAAAAGAGCTGCTGTAAGTTCAGTGATTGTGCATAGAGCCCATTACTCCTTTAGAATAAGTGTGTTTTGTTAGAAGGGTAGACATTTCGTGCTCTAGTTAAATCTAAGGAGCGCAACTGATTGATACAGACTATAAAACTACTTCCTAAGACCATAAGAAATATTTTACAAACAACATCTTTGACAGATGTTTATCACATCTGTCATGTTTAATAACTTCAGAGCTATCAGGACAGTGTCACAGAGTCCACATAGGTTGTTTTTTTAACCACTATTTGCTGGCAATAATAATAATTGCCAATGCCAATAATTGACACCGTTTACGTCTGTGGGCTTTATCAGCATGTTTTTTGGAAATAGCAGAGAAGAAAACAGATCCTGCTTTCTTATAACAATAGAATGATACTAAGCATGGGTGTTGTTAACCATTGTGACTGGTACCCATACTCCTTCTATTCTGATTAATCGGGCCCGGGTCCCAGGGGTAGCAGTATTTGCAGTGATGCCCAGTTGCTCTGTGGAAAGCCCAAGGGGTTCCAAGGCCAACCAGAGACATTGTCCTTCCATCATGTCCTGGGCTGTTCCCTGGGCCTTCTCCCAGTATATGATATACATCAAGCTACCCAGATCTATATTGTTTTTACTATTTCCTGCAGGTGCACCATCTAGGACAGAAGTCGATGAGGACAAAATAGCAATGGTGTGTAAATATTTGATATACCAACTCCAAGGTGCCCGGGAAGACATCCTGAGGTATTGTGATGTTAATGTGCGCTGTAAGACTATCGGGAACTATACTAATGGGACTCTAAAAGGGGATCCTTTCTTAAAAGATACTGGCTGTTTTGAATGCATTGAACAGAAGTTGTATGTGGTTGTGACCAATAATATAACCCAGAGTGGGGGATATTATGAGTTGCAGTGCAACGGTGTTGTTGAACGTGTAACAGAAGAATCCTTAAGGAAAATTTCCGGTAAGAACCAGACTATATTCTAGCTTTAACTTCTATAACTAGATGTTGATCATAATGTTTGTTCTCCTCACAGAAGGGCTGACCACCACTCCTGGACTCTTATCTTGTGCTGGTGAGGAACTATTTTAAAGTTATCAGAATGACTTTATCATGAACCGCCAGATCCTTGATAAAGTATTCACTTTACCTTATTTAGAAAACATTTTATGTTTTGGAAAAAGTAAAAATTGCTTGTAACTTTAAAATCAAAGAAAAGTTAGCTGTTACTTTAAAATAAATTAGAAATGAAAACCTGAAAATGTTGCCATGAGTTAGTATTTAGACCTGAGCTTTGAGGAAGAAAAAGTTGTTGCTAAAAGAAAGTCTTTTAGATGCTGAATTCTAAGGTTTCCTGCAGATCACATAGAGACACAGCAGACATGAAGAAGGAGGTTCTAAATTATACTTTAGTATACATGCAAAACTCTGTGTGAGGGGGAAATCAAACACTGCATATATCCAAGTGGTAAGACATGGTGGTGGCAACATCATTCTGATGAAGTTCTGACAGTAGGACCTTCCTGAATGTTTATGGTGAGAACCAGACTGTATACAGGGTTAACTTCTATAACTAGATGTCGATCACAATGTTTGTTCTCCTCACAGAAGGGCTGACCACCACTCCTGGACTCTTATCTTGTGCTGGTGAGGAACCATTTTAAAGTTATCAGAATGACTTTATCATGAACCGCCAGATCCTTGATAAAGTATTCACTTTAGCTTATTTAGAAAACATTTTATATTGTGGAGAAAAAAAAATTGCTTGTAACTTTAAAATCAAAGAAAAGTTAGATGTTACTTTAAAATAAATTAGAAATGAAAACCTGAAATTTTGCCATGAGTTAGTATTTAGACCTGAGCTTTGAGGAAGAAAAATTTTATAAAGTTGTTGCTAAAAGAAAGTCTTTAAGATGCTGAATTCTAAGGTTTCCTGCAGATCATGTAGAGACACAGCAGACATGTAGGGAGGAGGTTCTAAATTATACTTTAATATGCATGCAAAATTCTGTGTGAGGAGAAAATCAAACACTGCATTTAACAAAGTGGTAAGACATGGTGGTGGCATCATCATTCTGATGAGGTTCTGACAGTAGGACCTTCCTGAATGTTTATGGTGAGAACCAGACTGTATACAGGGTTAACTTCTATAACTAGATGTTGATCACAATGTTTGTTTTCCTTACAGAAGGGCTGACCACCACTCCTGGACTCTTACCTTGTGTTGGTGAGGAACTATTTTAAAGTTATCAGAATGACTATCATGAACTGCCAGCCCCTTGATGAAGTATTTACTTTAACTTATTTAGAAAACATTTTATGTTGTGGAAAAAGTAAAAGTAGCTTGTAACTTTAAAATCAAAGAAAAGGTAGCTGTTACTTTAAAATAAATAAAAAAATGAAAACCTGAAAATGTTGCCATGAGTTAGTATTTAGACCTGTGCTTTTTTACGGAGAAAAAGTTGTTGCTAATTGCATATAACCAAGTGGTAAGACATGGTGGTGGCAACATCATTCTGATGAAGTTCTGACAGTAGGACCTTCCTGAAGGTTTATGGTGAGAACCAGACTGTATACAGGGTTAACTTCTATAACTAGATGTTGATCACAATGTTTGTTTTCCTCACAGAAGGGCTGACCACCACTGCTGGATCCACACTTGCTGGTGAGGAACTATTTTAAAGTAATCAGAATGACTTTATCATGAACTGCCAGATCCTTGATAAAGTATTCACTTTAGCTTATTTAGAAAACATTTTATGTGGTGGAAAAACCAAAAGTAGCTAACAACTTTAAAATTAAACAAAAGTTAGCTGTTAATTTAAAATAAATTAGAAATGAAAACCTGAAAATGTTGCCATGAGTTAGTATTTAGACGTGAGCTTTGAGGAAGAAAAAGTTGTTGCTAAAAGAAAGTCTTTAAGATGCTGAATTCTAAGGTTTCCTACAGATCACATAGAGACACAGCAGACATGTAGGAGGAGGTTAAAAATTATACTTTAGTATACATGCAAAATTCTGTGTGAGGGGGAAATCAAACACTGCATATATCCAAGTGGTAAGACATGGTGGTGGCAACATCATTCTGATGAAGTTCTGACAGTAGGACCTTCCTGAATGTTTATGGTGAGAACCAGACTGTATACAGGGTTAACTTCTATAACTAGATGTTGATCACAATGTTTGTTTTCCTTCCAGTGCCGCCGACTACCGGTGTTGGATCCATACTTTATGCTGGTGAGGAACCATTTTAAAGTTATTAGAATGACTTTATCATGAACCGCCAGATCCTTCATAAAGAATTCACTTTAGCTTATTTAAAAAACATTTTATGTGGTGGAAAAACTAAAAGTAGCTTGTAAGTTTAAAATCAAAGAAAAGTTAGATGTTACTTTAAAATAAATTAGAAATAAAAACCTGAAAATGTTGCCATGAGTTAATATTTAGACCTGGGTTTTGAGGAACAAAAAGTTTTTAAAGCTGTTGCTGAAAAAAAAAGCTGTTTCTCGATGTGTACTTGTGCGTTCTCATGTGCTCGTGTACTCTTCATCATCCGCAGCCCCAGTACTGTTCCAGTTTACAAGAACACAACACTTAGAACTAGTGTTGCACCGATACCAGTATCGGACGTGGCCCCGATACTGCCCTAAAATGGTGGTATCGGTATCGGCGAGTACCAACAAATAGGGCACCGATACCATTTTGAGAGCCATAAGTTTATTCAACTATTGTCACCCACTCCTGGTAGGCAATAAAAAGTTCTACTGGATTCACTTTGTATTAGATTTTTTCCTGCTTCACAAAGGTAGGCAGCAGCTTGACAAACCATGATGGCAATTATTTTACATTATTATGGTATCGGTATTGGCCGATACTGCACAGCCAGGTATCGGTATCGAGGCAAAAAAATGGCATCAGTGCAACACTACTTAGAACATATAAAGTGTAGGAACAAATTTCATACATTAAATTCTCAAAGCTAATCGGAGTCAATGGGAAGATGAATATAGTTAATTGCAAGTTAATTTTCTAAGGTTTTTGCTACTAAAGACTTTAGACTAGAGTAAAAATTTACACAGTATTAATGTTAGAGGCCTAGTCAAAGTACAGAGCTAAATTAAACTGAAGATCTAAACATTTCCATCTCTCACTTAGGTTTTTGTGAAAAAGTTCCTGTAATTTTAAATTGAAAAACTTTGAGTTTTCCTCTTACATGAAATCCTCAAAAAATTATATAAAGGTTGTGGCTTAATTTTAAAAAATGTGAAAAAATACAAGATAGACTGATAGTTACTGTGAGGTTCTGATGTTTATTTTTTGACAGTTTGTGCTGCATATTCTGCTCCAATTCTCATTGGACTTGTGGGTAAGTTAATGCTCAGGGTTTGTAGCATTTTTATTCATTCTGTCATATTATAACACCCGTTGCTTTTTCTCCAAAGTGATTGGTCTTCTCGTCGTCATCGCTGTATTCGCTCGCAAAAGATGGAATCAGAACAGGTACCACTATTTTAGTGTTTAAAAGTTTTATCAGTTATAGATTATTTTTTTCTTCTCCTTAAATCCTGCTTGTTTTATGCAGAAGGCTTAAGATGCAAGACCTCAGATTAGTAAGTATCTCATTTATTTTTTATTAATGACTCAGATAGTACATTCTTTACATATTCATGTTTTTACTTGCTTCTGATATTCCCAATAATTTAATATTCACTCCAACTAATCAGTGCCTTAAGATATTGATCTGTTCTGTTTGATAGCTGTTGTTCATTTATAAAAAGCCTCCAAGCCAAAACATGTTTTTCTTTTTTCTTTTTTCACACTTACTTTAGGAATCTGGAACAGCTTGTGCCATAAACCAACCCTGAGGAGCCGACCCACCAGCAGCAACACCTGATGTAGAAAGCTTTCCATCTGAAACTATCCTACTTTGCCAAAAGTTAAAAGCATTTATTTTTTTGTGGGGGGGGGGGGGTATTTCAAACTCTGTTACAAACAAATGAAAAAACAAACAGTGCGACCAATAAGGGGAGCAAATCGGAACACAAAAAAAGTGAGAGATAATAAATAGAAGTTATTTAAGAAAAAAGCCATCTAATAGACAACATATGTTAATTTCTAATTTCTATATTAAGCTGAGTAAATGCTCCTCACCAGAACCACTCCTAATCTGAATTTGCACTAAGGAGGAGTTGCCATTTTTTACAGAGGTCTCCATATTTTTCTTAGGTATGTCTGATGGAGAATGTTAGTCGCTTTGTATTTATTATATTTATATCTTTGCTTGCCGTTATCTTCCTTCTATTTTACTCAACTATTCATGTAATACACGTAGCATTGCCTTGGCACTGAATTATGCTATACAAATAAACCTACCTGTTGGGAGCTGGAGAAAATCCCATCTTTCTCCAGCAGAGTCCGCCGTGGATCCTCTGAGGGAGCCTCCTGCACAGGTGCAGCTCATCAAGACCATCAGAGGATCCACTACATAAGCTGTCTTCAGACCTTACCTCAACGCCGCAGTGTTGTTCCAGTTGGTCAGCGCTAAAGCCTTGCTCCTAGTGAATCTCCATGACCTTGAATCCAGATAGGATTCTAACTTCTTTCTCTGTGTTCCCAGGAAATCCGAGTCTCTTCTGTGAAAGCTCTTGGAGAGCTAACCTGCCGAGCCGACCCTCTGAGCCCAACCCTGAAGACTTTCTGAGAAATCCCAAGCAGCTCAGGACTAGAGCTGGAAGAACCAAACTAAGGTCTGTTCAAACTAGACGTGAGACGTTGAAGCAGCTACGGACTCTGCTGATAAACTCTTCTCCAGAACCAACAGAAACTCCCCCAAGGAGAATTACTCAAGAACCCTCAAGGTACTATCTGAGCTCACTTGTAAACCAAACCCTGCCAGCAGTTCATAACAGCTCTGTCTCTCACGCAGACTCCAGTGAAACCAGGACCCAGGCCCGAACCAGATCCCAGTTCATATTGTGTTGTGCTTAATAAACTGTTGAACTTTTATCCTCGTGTCCGCCTTGTGGTGTTCTGCATAACTGGGTCTCCATTTGAGAACCCATCATGACAGAACACTGCGGCCAAACACAAGGCCCAGCAGATCACCTCACCCGTCGTTTGAGGAACAGGATGCCCAACTTCAGGGGCAAACCCAAACGCTCCGTGAGTTATACCATTTAGTTGGGACTCATAACCAAATGCTACAGAGTTGTGCTAATTTCCTGAATAGCGCTAATGCTGCATCTATACAGCAACCATTTCCGGGTCCAGTCCCTCCCCCGAGGTCACAACCTGTGACGTCATCAGAATTTCGTCCTAGTCTACCTGAGCGGTTCTCCGGTAACATGAAAGATTGCAAAGGATTTTTATTTCAGTGCCGGTTGATCTTCCAGAATTCTCCAGGCTGTTCTTCTACAGATCACAAGAAAATAACGTTCGTTCTTTCTCAATTAACAGGAAGAGCCTTGGAATGGGCTCAGGCAAGGTTTGCCTCTGACGACAGTTTAAATTACCCTTTTTCTGATTTCATCGCTGAATTTACCCAGGTTTTTAACCAGGAAACTGACCAAACTATTGATTCCAGAGCTCTTTTCAGCCTCAAACAGGGAAATTCATCTGTGGCAGATTTTTCGATTAACTTCCGGGTTAAGGCGGCAGCTTCCGGATGGAATCAAAGCGCCTTAAAAGGAGCATTCTTCATGGCATTAAATGAACAGATTAAAGATGAACTAGCAACCCTCGACGAACCTGCTTCCCTCGAAGATTTAATCCGCCTCTCCATCAGACTTGATAATAGGATTCGAGCCAGAAACAGTTCTAAGAAGCAGAATAATTTCTCTCCTGCCTCTCTTAACGTGACTGTGTGTTCTCCTTCTACAGAGCAGATGCCCACTCAGAGGTCTAAGCCCCAGTCTCTTTCTTTGCCTGTTCAGGCCTCTCATTCGGGAGAAAGGGACTCCGAACCCATGCAGGTGGGACACACTAGGCTCACTCCTGAAGAGAGACAGAGGCGGTTCCTAAGTAAACTATGTATCTACTGCGGTGAGAGTGGACACTTTATCGCCTCCTGCCCGGCAAGATCAAAAGCCGGGGCCCGCCAGTGGATCTGAGGAGTCTGGCGGGCCAATTAAACACAACAAAATCTCCTCGTTTGATGCTTCCAGCCACCCTGTTCTGTGATAACCAGAGTCTTTCTTTTTCCGCCTTCATCGACTCAGGCTGTGAGTGTAATTTAATAGACTCTAACCTCGTCCAGCAACTTCACATAAAGACCGTTCCCCTCTCCCAGCCTCTCAGTGTTTCAGCCATCGACGGAAAAAGACTCCACCGTGTAACCCATCAAACCCAGCCCCTCGAGCTACTTCTATCAGGTAACCACCGAGAGACAATAACCTTCTTTGTTTTTCCCTCTGCATGTTCCCCATTGGTCCTCGGGTTTGAGTGGTTGGAGAAGCATAATCCTCACATTAACTGGACTAAACGTCTCCTGGAATCATGGTCCACTACGTGCCACGAAACATGCCTTCGTTCAGCTGCCCCTATGGGGGGTTCTCCTAGTGGTGGGGGGGAGATGGACTCTCCTGACCTTTCTTCAGTTCCCTCTGAGTATCACGACTTAGCCCCTGTCTTCAGTAAGGTCAGTGCTACGTCCCTACCTCCACACAGACCATATGATTGCGCCATTGAGCTTTTACCTGGCGCTCCTCTTCCTAGCAGCAAACTGTATAACATTTCCAAGCCTGAAAGAGAAACTATGGAGAAATACATCAATGAATCATTAGCTGCTGGAATTATTCGTCCTTCTTCCTTTCGCTGGGTGCAGGGTTCTTCTTCGTGGGCAAGAAGGATGGTTCCCTGAGGCCATGCATTGATTATCGGGGTTTAAACCAGATCACAATTAAAAATAAATACCCTCTGCCTCTTCTTGCTTCTGCTTTTGAACCTGTGCAGGGAGCTACAGTGTTTACTAAGTTGGACTTAAGAAACGCTTATCATCTTCTGAGGATACGAGAGGGCGATGAATGGAAGACTGCCTTTAAGACTCCTTTGGGTCAATTCGAATATCTGGTAATGCCCTTTGGTTTAACCAATGCACCTGCCTGTTTTCAGGCCCTAGTAAATGATGTTCTCAGAGATTTCCTCAACGTGTTTGTTTTTGTGTACATTGATGACATTCTCATTTATTTCAAGGACCTCAATGAACACAAGAGACATGTTCGCCTTGTCTTACAGAGACTACTGGAGAATAAGCTGTTCGTGAAAGCCGAGAAGTGCGAATTCCATCAACCGTCAGTCACCTTTTTGGGGTTTGTGCTCGAGGGCGGTCAGGTAAAACCTTCTGAGGATAAGATCAAAGCTGTTTTAGACTGGCCAGTCCCTGAGAACCGAAAACAGCTACAGAGGTTTCTAGGATTCGCTAACTTCTATCGACGTTTCATAAGAAACTACAGTCAAACCGCCCTTCCATTAACCTCTCTCACCTCCATCAAACGAACTTTTCAGTGGACCCCTGAGGCTCAAGCAGCATTTGAAAAACTAAAATCATTGTTTTCCAGAGCTCCTGTTCTCATCCAACCTGATCCAGCAAAACAGTTCATCCTAGAGGTGGATGCTTCTGACTCCGGAGTTGGAGCAGTTCTCTCCCAGAGGCTCGATTCTGATCAAAAGATACACCCCTGTGCTTTCTTCTCCCGTAGGCTTTCCTCAGCTGAACAGAATTATGACGTGGGCGACCGTGAGCTCCTGGCTATTAAGCTGGCGTTGGAGGAATGGAGGCATTGGCTGGAGGGAGCTGAGCATCCAGTTCTTGTGTGGACAGACCACAAGAATCTGGCTCACATCCAGTCAACTAAACAGGCAAATCCTCGCCAATCCAGGTGGTCAATCTTCTTCTCACGTTTCAACCTTATCATTTCATACAGACCCGGATCCAAGAACGTGAAGCCCGATTCTCTCTCTCGTCTCTACTCTGTGGATCATCCTGAGACACCTGAACCCATCCTCCCAGCTTCATGTACCATTGGAGTGGTCAACTGGGAGATATCAGACTTCATCAACTCGGCCCTAGCCACTGAACCAGACCCAGGTACCGGTCCTCCTAACCGCACATATGTCCCATCTTCAGTCAGGTCCCGTCTGATCCAGTGGATGCACGCCGCCAAATTCACCGCTCATCCAGGAGTGAGTAGGACTATAGCTCTCATCTCCAGGCGCTTCTGGTGGCCCAAACTCCACAGAGACGTTAAGGAGTATGTGTTGGCTTGCCCCACCTGTGCCCGCAACAAAGCCTCACACCAACCTCCTTCTGGCCTGCTTCAACCACTTCCTGTTCCCTCGCGCCCATGGTCTCATATAGCTATAGATTTTGTCACCGGCCTCCCTGTCTCCCGAGGTATGTCCACTATTTTAACCATTGTTGATCGTTTCTCGAAGTCCTGCCATCTGGTTCCCCTCAGGAAACTTCCCACGGCCTTCCAGACTGCTCAGCTATTAATAAAACATGTTTTCCGGCTTCATGGCATCCCCCAGGAGATCCTATCGGACAGAGGTCCACAATTCATCTCGCAGGTATGGAAGGCCTTCTGTTCTGCTCTCGGCTGCAAACCATCTCTCACTTCAGGTTACCATCCTCAATCAAACGGCCAGACAGAACGCATGAACCAGCAACTGGAATCCACCCTCCGCTGTCTCACTTCCAACAACCCTGTGGATTGGAGTCAATACCTCCCGTGGATAGAATATGCCCATAACTCTCTCCGTTCTGCATCCACTGGACAGTCCCCGTTCCAGGTCAGTCTCGGTTACCAACCACCTCTTTTCCCTGCAGATGAGAGAGAGATATCGGTGCTGTCCGTTAACCATCACATCCGTCGCTGCCAGAGGATATGGAGGGAAACAATCGCTACACTCAACCAGTCAACCGAGTCAGTCAAGCGTTTCGCTGACGCTAAGAGACGCCCCACCCCTGAGTATTCTGTGGGCCAAGAAGTTTGGCTCTCCACTCGAGACATCCCCCTCAAGGCCATCCGGCCTTCACGGTGCGCCGCATCGTAGACTCCCGTCGACGAGGTCGCGGATGGCAGTACCTCGTCGACTGGGAGGGCTACGGGCCTGAAGATCGTCAGTGGGTCCCAGGCTCGTACATCCTCGATCCCACACTCATAGAGGAGTACGAGCGTTCCTGTCCGTCCACTTCCTCCGGACCGCCAAGGGGCGGTCGTTGAGGGGGGGGGTACTGTTGGGAGCTGGAGAAAATCCCATCTTTCTCCAGCAGAGTCCGCCGTGGATCCTCTGAGGGAGCCTCCTGCACAGGTGCAGCTCATCAAGACCATCAGAGGATCCACTACATAAGCTGTCTTCAGACCTTACCTCAACGCCGCAGTGTTGTTCCAGTTGGTCAGCGCTAAAGCCTTGCTCCTAGTGAATCTCCATGACCTTGAATCCAGATAGGATTCTAACTTCTTTCTCTGTGTTCCCAGGAAACCAGAGTCTCTTCTGTGAAAGCTCTTGGAGAGCTAACCTGCCGAGCCGACCCTCTGAGCCCAACCCTGAAGACTTTCTGAGAAATCCCAAGCAGCTCAGGACTAGAGCTGGAAGAACCAAACTAAGGTCTGTTCAAACTAGACGTGAGACGCTGAAGCAGCTACGGACTCTGCTGAAACTCTTCTCCAGAACCAACAGAAACTCCCCCAAGGAGAATTACACAAGAACCCTCAAGGTACTATCTGAGCTCACTTGTAAACCAAACCCTGCCAGCAGTTCATAACAGCTCTGTCTCTCACGCAGACTCCAGTGAAACCAGGACCCAGGCCCGAACCAGATCCCAGTTCATATTGTGTTGTGCTTAATAAACTGTTGAACTTTTATCCTCGTGTCCGCCTTGTGGTGTTCTGCATAACTGGGTCTCCATTTGAGAACCCATCATGACACTACCATGCCTATAAGTTCATTTGTGTCTGTGTATTGTTCCATTGCACACTTAAAAATACTGTTAATTACTAACCTTGTGTTGGCTTAGTTGTGGCATTTAATAATTCTGTACTCTTTATTTTGCATATTTCCATATTTTAGGTTATAGCCACATAAACTTGATCATTATAAAATACCTTTTATGTAAATTAAAATACACTTAAACTAGTTTTTAAATGTGTGAACAATCTTGTATCAACAATGTTTTCTGCTCTTATTTCAAGACTCACTTAAACCATCCGATCAAGCCTCAGCAAGTTGTAACTACTGTCACAAAGCTTAGGATATCTTTTGGCTCATCTGTAGTTTTATGGTAATTGTTGCTTGCTTGCTTCAACTAATCAATGCCAAAAGGCAACCATAGAGCGCCCTATTGGAACTGCAGGAGTGGATCCAACAAGTGGCTTAAGTTGAGAAAGAGATGTTCATACATGAATTAGCCTTAAGTTTATTTGTTTATTTCTGTCTTAAACTGTTAGCTACTGAATGTAATCTATCTAAACTGAATTTTGTAATATCAGCATATTTTTTTCTAAAGCCTCTTATCAACATTTCGTTTTCCTAAAGGTTTAAATGTAAGAAAGCTTCTGTTTTGAAGTTGTTAGTGGGAAATCAAACAACCTGCTGCTCTTTTTACTGTTCGATGCTTTCTGCTAATCCTCCATTTAGTCCACACAGGTGATGGCCCTGAAGAAACCTGCCGGACCCAGCTGCTGATTTAATTCATTCAGTCTATTAGAGACCAGTTTGAGAAAATGTTTGGGTTCAAGGCCGGAGAAAACAGAACAGCTGTCTCAGAAGTGTCAGCGCTAAACAAGCACATTATACTTTCAGAAGGAGCAGTTTGGAAGGGAATTAAAACTATTATTAACATGTTTAATATATTTATCGTATACACGCATTATTTGAATTTTGCTCTAGATTTCATATATCGAGCCGCTATGACTAAATAGAGTTAGAAGCAGGGGCGTCAGCTGACCCAAAATATACAGGGGCACATTAGGGCACCAAAAGAAATGAAAGCGTGTGAAGCGAGCGAGCAAAACATTTTTTAGGCAATTATTTATTTTAAAAACGCATGGGCACAGATAATTATGCAAGCACGTTAGCAAATATATTATAGAACTCAATTTTAAATCAGCGTCATAAATAAAATTTACAATCAGATTGTTATTTTGTGCATCATTAAGAACCAAACTGAATTGGCCCACTTGTGAACCTAACTGTATGTCTCTATTCCACTACTGATGAAGGTAAAATTTATCTTCATAAAATATCTGTCTGCAAACATGAACTTGAAAACTTGAAATGCGAAACTGTAAAAGGAAAAACAAATAAACCCCTCTACATACATACAGGTCTGTATTTATCATTTCTATTTGGGCACATCCTATGACGGTGTGATGGTGATGATCCTATGATGTGTGTATATCATGGCCAGAAAGATGGGAGAGCTGGATGTTCATGTTTTTAACAGTAAACGGTAGCATCTCACCCAGTGGCGGCTGGTGGGGTTTTCTCCAGGGGAGGCTATAAATTCAAAATAGTATTTCAAATGTATACCAAAAACCAGTCAACCCTATATTTTTATTTTTGTTGTTCTTTTTTTGTTTTTGTTGTATTTTTCTATGAATGCCAACAACAAAAAATATTATAAAACAAAGCATAATTTCATGAACTGCTTTACATTTTGTACATAAATCTTGCCCCTCTGAGGCTTTGTGGACACAAATCTGTGTTTTGTTTGGTCCAATATGATGTCACAAACCTTAAAAAATAAAAATGTACCAGTTTAATAATGGAAATGCTATTTGTCGGCTTTATATATTTTTTTAAATATAAAAACTATTTATTTTCTGACCATGCGTTTATGAGCAACTGTGCAAATTAACAAACATTTAGAAAATTTACATTATATAATATTATTTTCCATGTGAATCCCAGATTGTTTATTCTTCTTTGCCTTTTCTACAAAGTGCTATAAATTACAACCATTGATAACATGAATGATCAACATCACCAACTCAATTTGAAACATATTTAGCTACAGCGAGTATATCGAGTTGGGAGGGAGGTGAAAAAGATTTTGGTCTTAGTTTAGGAAGGTCCAAAACTATCAGCACCTCTAACTGCTTTAATTGTCTTAGCAAAGTCATGAGCCACACATGGAATTATTGCAGCTATATTTATAATATATTCAAACATTGACCTATATGTGGTCGGAAAAATATAAAGTTAAATATTGGAGGGCTTTAAAACAAAGAGGAATAAAAATAACATTTAAATTGCCAAATTCGAACTTGCCCTAAAATAGACAACCTGACTTGATTAGATCCCCCACTGGTATTTGCATGAAAACCAACATTCACAGTTTAGGAAATAATCACAACCAAATAACATGCAGACAATTTGTTTTTTAGTTTCATTGGACTTTTATTTTATTCAAAATAAAAGCAAAATGTACCACCTTGTTTCATTCAAGATTCAATCCAGAAATAGAATAAAAGCCAAGATGTTTTCCCTTAGAACAGTGGTTCCAAACTCTGTCGTTGTTTAAAGTGTCTTCTTGCTGCCACACACCTGACTTTAATAATTGGGTGAATAAAAAACTTTGCAGCACTTGATGGTTGCTGAGGAGAAGCAATCGTTTGAATCAGGTGGAACAGAGACGGTTCTGTAGCACGTAAAGCAGGGTTGCAAGTCCACTTCCATCAGTTCAGTCCCCATTTAGGGGACACCTCTATTTCTTCTATATCTCCACTTTCTCAAGATTAAAACGCCACCGAAACAGGTTAGACTTACTGAAACTACAGCAAGGATCCAGGTGAAATCTTTAAGAAAAGAAGAAAATTTTAAAAAGTTCAAGAAAACTAAACAGAAATCACATAATTAAGACGATAGGTTCAACTTACTTAGATTTTTAGGCTCAGATGTTCCTTTAACTCCAGGAACGGTGATCAGCTTCTCTCTGGGAGCAGCAGAGAGCACTGACACTGAACATCCAACCTGTGTGCTGCTGGAAGCTGACAGCAGAGCTGTGGTGGTGACGGTGACTGTACCGTTGCTGTGGGTCACACTGCTGCTGTTGTAGTGGGAGAAGCTGAGGTTCTGCTGTAGAACAGTCAGTGTTACAGTGGGAGCAGGTCGACCTGTGGCTGAACAGGACACAACTGACTCTGCAGAAACATTTGATCTGCTGACATCAAGGATGGGTTCATGCAGCTCTGAGAGGAGAACAAACATCATGATCAACATCTAGTTATAGAAGTTAATCCTGGAATACAGTCTGGTTCTTACCATAAACCTTCAGACAGGTTCTCCCTTTCAGAGCTCCATCAGGGTAGATGTTGAACAAACAGAGATAACATCCTTCATCCTCCTCTGTAACCTTCCTGATAACTATGGAGGAATTCTTCAGTCCAGCTTCTGTAAACTGGACTTTATCTTTAAAGTCAGGATTCACTGTTTGACCAAAATACTCGCTGTAGGAGCAGATATTCCTCTCTTTGTTCCCAAAGACCTTCTGCCAGGTGACCTGCTGGACATCTTTAGTTTCCAGGAGCTGACAGCTGAGAGGAGCATCTTCTCCCTCTGCTGCTAAGACATTCAGCGGGGTTTGGACCACAGCTGCTGCACCTGCAGAAAGCAAAGAGAACTGATCTAATTATATGGCTGCAACTAGTAGACTAATCTGTCGATACTTTTTTTCGATTAATAATCAAATAGCCAAAGGATCCGTAAAGAATATTTTATACAGAATTAAACCAGTTGAAATTAAAACTTTTCGACTTGTGGAGTTCTGGATAGATAACATTAACAGGAGAATATTATATATATATATATATATATATATATATATATATATATATATATATATATATATATATATACTGTTTTCATCGGGAGAGTTTGCAAATATAGAACACTATTTACAGTTAGAAGCTCCTTTAGCTGTGAAAAATGAGCATTTTTCAACATGACACTGATGCTGCTGAATACAGAACGAGCGCTGAGGAAGCAGAGCAAACACAAACAAATTCACTTTTGCAGATGGTAGTACTGCTGAAAGACAGATCTGTCTCACATAAAGCTTGCTATTTAATAGTCAGGTCAGTCCACTTTGAATGCAAGTAAGACAAAATATGTGGGTGTTGCATTCCCCACACACCCCACAACACCTATGCATGCCACAGATTTAGATAAAAAAAAGAAAAAAAAAAACATAAATTTCCTTCATCATCTTTTGTTTTTGTGGTTGCAATAGTATGAAATTTATATATGCTGTAAGAGAAATAACCTGCTTCTACTAAGAAACTCTTTCAGCCATCAGACTTTTAAAATATCAGCAAATATTAAGCAACAAGACCTGATTTAGCTTTATTTAGTTAGTTTAAATTTAAAACAATTACCTGAATTAACTTACTTTTAATGAAGATTCCCGGCAGGATAAAGAAAAACAGCCCAGCCGAGTTCCCCATGCTTCCAATGTTTGAATGTGAATAAGATGCATAAACCAGAAAGGGAGGCATGCCTGTAGAAAAATATCACAGGCTCTGTAGTATAAATATACTCGTCATTTAACATCGGAATACCACCTTTCAGCTCAGTATATCCCGCCTAAAGTTCAAATCACTTGGGTTGCACTTCACTATGATTGGACTACGGTATATGTTTTTATAACCCTCACATGTTACTTCAAAGATACCGAAAGAGAAAGACAGAGCGCAGACAAAGAAAGTGACGTCCAATAAAAACAGAGGTCAGTTATTGGAATTTGCTCTAAGACTTTTGTATCAGGAGGAAAGAAAAGAAAACCCCTGATCTATCACAATTTCCTTCTCCTGAACAGACAAAAGCACCATGTGAACGAGAGTATTTTCAAATACAACTTATTATAATAAGATATAAACAGGGACAATGTAATCTGTCCAATCAGATGAAGAATTGGAAAGGAAAATATGGCCTATATGATACACATTACTCACTGCTAACTGGATCAGACAGGTTTATTTTCATTGAATTTATAGCTGACGGTTACCAAAAACTATTTGTTTCTCTAAAGCCACTTTTTAAATAACAGCAGGCAATAAATAAGAAAGCCTTTATATTGGAAGACTCAATCTTTATCCAGGCTTTCCAGCTGATGTGTTTGCATTAATATTGAAATTTGCATTAATATTTTGTCATATTTTTCATGACCATGCTATATTTAAGATTTTAATGATTTTCTGTGTGTGTGATTGATGTTTACAATGTTTTTACTGTACATTTCTTCTGCTTTAATTATATAAAGCACTTTGAATTGCTTGTTGCTCTAGTGTGCTCTACAAATCGATTTACTTTACAGTAAAGCAGGGGTCACCAACCTTTTTAAGGTTGAGGGCTACTTCATGAGTTGTTCTTTTTTCAGAAGATGCCGAGGGCCCCCCATGTGGCTCCTTGGTGCCCATGGGCACTGCGTTGGTGACCCCTGCTGGAAAGTAATTATAGGCCTACTTGAAGTTACTACTGTAAGTCTATTATTTAGCAAAACGTAACATGACTCTGTCATCTTCGTTGGGATGCCATTCTTGGAGTTGGAAGCTTCTTCCTCCAAATGCACAGATGGTCATAGCACCAAAACACTTTACTTTTTTCAGACCTAAAGGACTTGCATAACAAATGTGTGTGTTTGTTCCTACATGTTTTTTGCAAACTGTAATCTGACTTTTCTCTCTCTGAGTTACCTTTGACCCATTTTCTTTAGAGAACATGCTTCTTTACAAAAGCTGAGAGGAGAGTTTGATTTTCTGCCTTAGTAAATAAATTTGGTACCTAGTCTTTTAATTGCACAGAATCAGCATAATGTCATCACTGAATGAAACTACAAATAAAAAAAATCTAAATCTGTGATGAGTGATGTAGGGCTGTAATTAGTTTGAACACAGCTGCAGAGAAAAAAAAATGCTTGACCAAATCCAAGTTGTAAAACTTTTATGATAAAAGCTGAGAGGAAGTGCAAAGAACAACTCGCCTCAAACTTTTCTGAATAATTAAAATAGCTGGAAGAGAATAGTGACTGGTGAATAGTGCTCCAATTTTTTTTTTTCTTTAATAAATATCCTGTTACAAGACAATAATTGTTGGTTAGAGGATATTAAAGGATATTCATAGAACTTGCAGACATTTTAATGTAACTTTTTTATTTTACATTATATGTATTTCACTCAAATTTTCCACTTTCTAAATGGATCTAGTATTGCAGGAGTTTGTTGTTATGGTCAGGTACATGTGCCTGACAATAAGTCAAAAATCTTCAAAAAAAAAAAAAAAAAAGGTCAAATGTTGGTAAAGACATAGCAGGGTTTAGTTATAAGAAACAAATTCAGGCATTAAAGGTGACGGAAACATTTTATTCCATACTGTAAACCTGTATATTAACAAAAACCTAAGGAGTTATAAGCTTTTGAGTAATAAAGAAGAACGATTTGGTGGTCCTTTGGCTGGGTTTTTGACAGTTCTGACAGTTGATAACAATTTAATCACTTTTTTAAGCAAAAATGAGAGGAATTTTTCATCCTTTATTGATCTTATAGATTCTAAAGCAATTTTAGACCAGTCCTCAAGCAAAACCCTAAACTGGAAATATTCTCAGATATAATAAATTCCCTTTAAATATAAAAACATGTGCAGTTCAAATTCATTACATTATTAATAAACTATATGTGTTAATCCGTCAAAAAGCTCTTTTGATAGAAACCTACTGGCCACTGTGTTGTTTTTAAGCAGATACAATGTTTAAGTAATTTATGAACATTTATGACAGAAAATGAACCTGCTGAAGCTACGCATCCCTTAAGTTAAATCCCATATGTGGAGGATGCCTTAGCATCCAGAGTCACAGTCTTCCTATTGTTGTACATAAATAAGTAAATTAGTTCCACAAAAAATATCTTCCCTATAGGAATATGGTTAAAAAAAAAGATCCATTGCCACAGACATGTTTGGAGTGAGTATTCTTATAAAGGAAAATGGATGAGATTCAGCAGCAGCCAAATCATATTTTTATGGCGAGAAGGTACTTTGGTATATTGTTTTTATTTATTTTTTTATTTCTTCAGATAGCTTTGTCAAAAAAAATTAAATGTTAGAACTGTAAATTTACAGTCATTTGTTTATATTACTGTTTTTATATTTATTTATTTATTTACTATTTTTCAAGGCTGCACTTAAAAAAAAAAGAAAGGAAATTGTCCAAAGAGCTGTTCTAAATGAAATGTATTTTTGTTTTACACTTGTGTAAACAAAATGACAAATCTGAATCTAAAATATATATATATATATATATATATATATATATATATATATATATATATATATATATATATATATATATATATATATATATATATATATATATATATATATATATATATATATACAGGGCCGTGCAGAGACCACTAAAGGGGCAGGTGCTCAAAAAAAAAAAAGGGCACATCTTATCGCATTTTAGGACAGAATATTAACAAAGTCACATAGCTATCAGAGTTTAATGAACAATGATAAATTACAAAATTGTGAGACATACAATCAAAGCTAAGGGAAATCTCTACATTGAACATAGAACTATGCATATGTAAAATATTTTATTAGTAATTTCTTTCTGCAGGTCTATTTTGTTATAGGAAAGTATTACAATATTCAAACCTGCAATTTAGCCAAAGATGTAAATCAGAGCTGCACCACCAGAAATATTTTGTCTTTACAGAATTAAACTGTTAAAAATGCATACAAGGGCACAATGCAACCTTTTAGTGTACTGTAATCTATAAAAAAGAATGTCTGCCTGGTTTGCTGTACTGACAGTGGAGATGGAGACGGTCCATTCAGAAAAGCAGAGCTGCTGCATCAAACTTTAACTAGAACTGCAGAAAAAAAAGAACAAAACAAACATTTTATTAATGCATGTCACCATGAGAAAAGCCTACTCTGTTTGTGTCTTAGTGTATTTTGTAAGTACCTAGGCCTATATACATTTTCTTCAATCTTTCCTCTTCGTTTTTTCTTGTCAGTTTCTCTTTTCTTTTTTTGCTCATTGTCTCATCTTTTCTGTGTTGAGTGAAGGTCAATGTCTTATTTATTTCAGTCTCTTGCCTTTCTTTTTCCCCCAAACTAAATCCAAGATTATGATCCAAAAACTAATTTTCCGTCATGGTGATTTAACTGTTTAAAAACAAATTTCCAACTTTTAAGCATTTTTGCTATTTTTGTTCTCTTTTGTTCACAGCAGCAGTTTTCTGTTAGCCATGTCTTTAAAAATGTTAATAACCTCACTGTGAATGATTGGCACATCCTTCTCGATTGCCAACAAAAGAAGGCCTGACAACCGATCCTCCTTGCATAAGCTGCGCAGTTTTGTTTTCACCAGCTTCATACATTATATCTATCATATATCTATCATGGTAGTTCTGGATGAGTTCTCCTTCAAGATACATTTACCTAACGCTAGAATAAATGAAATGTACATCATGCAGCAAAGGAAATTAGAAAATCAGACATATATCCATTATGGAGATGATAGGTTTTTGACGGGCGATGTGCCCCTATTGCATAAGTAATACTGAAGAATGTCCTATTATCATTAACGACACAGGGAAGCTTTTTAGTTATCTTGCTTTGCTAGCAAAGTCATTAGCTAGCAGCTAGCTCATAGCACAAGAACAACAGCCTAATGTCTGTATGATAAAAATACTGAATCGATAGATAAGAACAGCTTTTCCTCACCTGGCTGTCTCCTCCCGCTCAGTAGTTCTTCAGAGAAAGGCGCGCCGCGTCCTATACTTTCCTCCGTTTAAACCGCTACTCTTTGCTAAAGTAGAGAAATTATACAACGTTCAAAGTTTTCCGTTGTCTGACAAGTAGGAAGCCTACACCAGTATTTTCACCAAAAATTATGTTTTTTAATTCACAAAAAAACTGTTCTGTAACCATTACAGAACAGTTTTTTGTGAATTAAAAAACATAATTTTCAATGTAAAAGACTAAAAGCACAGAGTAAACAGTGTTTTAGATCAAACAATACTGCATCATCCATGGGGCTCATTTGGTTTCAATTACATCTCTATTCAGGTTGACATTGGAGAGGCGGTGCAGACTGAAGACATAGCCATCCGTCCGATCATGGTTGATCTTGCTTAGGGCCAAATGAGCAGCGGCCACAGTGTAATGTGGAATATTCGCTACCTTTAGCTCCGCAGTTAGCCGCCTTATCTGACTGTGCGAGAGGCAAGTGCGTCGTCACCACCGGCAAAAGGTCAAAGGTAACAATGTGACCGGAGGGCTTATTGTATTGTTTTTCTTGCAGAAAAAAAAAGATAATAATAATAATTTCAGTACATGTGTCAAATAAAAAAAAAAAAAAAAAAAAAAAGGGACCAAAAGGGCACATTGGGATCATGGAGCAAAAGGGGCAGGTGCTCAAGCCCCCTTAGCCCCCCCC